AACTAATGTTATGCATCTTTGTTCTTCTTAATATAATAGATTAAAAAAAAAAAAAGAAAAAATGAGATCCTCTCTTCCTCTTCATCCTCCTCCCCTTCCTCCTCCCAACTCCCCTAAAGAGGCTTACACCACTTGCATTCTGAACTACACCTCACGCCTCTAGGTAGTGGAACGCCTAGGGGGGTCTTGCTCCGCTTCGACAAGACCCTCCCTTTCAACTAATGTTATGCATCTTTGTTCTTCTTAATATAAAAGATTTTTTTTTAAAATAAAGAAAAATTGAGATCCTCCCTTCCTCTTCATCCTCCTCCCCTTCCTCCTCCTAACTCCCCTCCTCTTAAAGAGGCTTACGCCTCTTGTATTCTGAACTACACCTCATGCCTCTAGGTAGTGGAATGCCTCGCATCATGTCTCCGCGTTTTAAAACATTGGAGTAAACTTAATTAACTAAATGTATTTCATGTACAATAAAATTGGGAAGCAATCCAGATGGAAGGTACTCAAACCATCCAAATTACAGTTGACAATTTAAGCTACAAATAAGAAATTAATCAAGAAATGAGCACAAGTGGGCTGAAACAAACTGGTAAGGAAATTGTGGCCCTGAAAGGCAAAGTTCTAAAGACAAATTTGTCTACTGTAGGCAATATGAAGAAGTTGCAGATGACTACTTCTGAATCATTAGAATCATGGTTATAGGAATACTGAGTGTATATCGGCTGTCTAGTAGTGATGGGTATTTTTGTAATTTCACTCTTTTAAGTAAAGGAGGGCTGATCCTTGGGCAACACACCTTATTTGAAGCTTTCACTCTCACCCTCTTCTCTTCTATTTTTCTCCTTTAATCTCTTAATCTAATAATCTTGTTTCAATCCTAATATGGTATCAGAGCCATAGTAGGATCAAAAAGCCTGGTGTTCTCTTAAGGAGTTTGTTTCTCCTGGAAGGTCTCATTTTCTCAAAAGGGGTCACACAGGGGTATCAGCTGCTAGTGTGGGGTTTATACCCCTCAATCAAGGATTATTTAAGAAACTTTTTGAATATGATCAGATATTTTCTGATAAAAATAGGAAAATTTCATTTTAGAGTTTTTGATCATGGAGGCTAGTAGGAAGATGCTTTTCATCTGTGATCGATTGAGCTTGATCTGGAACATATTTGTCTAGTGTTTGTATCTGGTTTCATATTTTTTGGTGAATTTTTCCCTTATTATATTTTACTTCCCACTCTGCTTTTTTCCCAATTTGGGGATGTGTTTGGTGCTTCTAATCACCAATTGTTATCTGGAGTAATTTCCTGAGTCTCAACTTAGTTGGAGTTTATCAAAGATGGCACAAGACTCTTCTATAGATCAGTCTACTACCACTTCAGCCCTGAGACAGCCACTAACTTCTCTGGGAGAATATTTCAACCTTCAAATCATCACTATTAGATGGAACTAATTACCTTGAATGGACTCGATATGTGAAGGTTTATATTGGCAGTAGAGGGAAACTTGGCTATTTAACTGGTAAAGCGAAGAGACCTAATGATGATGATCCTTTAGTGGATGTTGAATGTCTGGAAAGAGGAGAATATGATAATTATGTCCTGGCTCTGGAACTCAATGACTCCCTAAATTAGTTCACGTCTCCTGTTTCTTAAAACATTAGCTCAAATACAAGATGGAGTCAAGATAAGGTGTTTGAATACCTATCTAGATTGAATCCTGACCATGAGATAGTGTGAATGCAGTTATTGGGTCGAAGTGAAATTCCATCAACTGGTGAAATCTATTATTCAACAGGAAGCATCTAGGAGGGTTGTGATGAAGTTAGAGTTGGACCACTTTGCTCTTGTGTGTGACTACTATAAGGAAACTCGACACACTTGTGAGACAAGTTTCAAGTTACATAGATACCCGTTTTGGTTTAACAAGGGAAACAATCTCAGAAGCCTAATGCTCATAAAGTAATGTCATCCGACAAATCTCTTGAAGTTGTGACCCCTAAATCCATATCCACTCCAGTTAGGAATTCCTCTAAATCATCCTATCAGACTCTTTCTTCATCTTGAAGCCAATAGTAATGCAGCTTCTCCTTTGGGTGGTGCCTCTGCTTCATCCTCCTTTGTCCACTCAAGTAATTTGTCTTCAAGACATGCCTCCTATGCCTCTTGGGTCATTAGTTTAGAAGCCTTTGACCTTATGACTAGTTTGTCTAATCTGTTCTCTTCCTAGTGACCTTTGTCAGGCAAGGATAAGCTCGCAGCGCCAGCTTTTGTATTTATACTAGGGTGACCCAAAACATTATGAAATAAAGAGAATTACAAAAGTACCCCTGCAGCTTTAAAGAATAAACTAATTACAGTTTTAACTAGAATGATGTCATTATGGTTTCAGAGGATTCCATGCACTCTCCAAGGGGTTGTTTTAAAGTGTAACAATCAAAATTGAATTTCATGAAACCAGGTGTAGGAGCAGATCAAAGATGTACAGTTCTTTGCCAGGCAAAGGCAAACACCAGTTGCCATCTTCTTAGCAAATCCAATAGGTACACCCTTGAATTCCTTCTTGGTTAAAATCAAAGAATGCAACCCTCACCATGATGAGATCAATCAGAACAACAGCCTCCAAGTCCTTTACCTTTTTTTTTGAAAAGGTAATGTATTAACTCCTTGTTAGTTTATGAAAAATATATTAATATAAGCAATTGTACCAATCAAAAAATAAATAAATAAAAAATAGAATGTTGCTTATCTAGGCACCCTCTAAACTCAAGGAGATAAATGTTCATTATTATATACTATAATGTTAAGATTTGAAGACTAAACCTGAAAAAAAAAAACATTGATAATTTGAAAAATTGCAAATTGGGGATTTAAGCTTGAAGTAGAGTTCAATTAGTATTAAGTATTTAGCATAGGTTGATAGGATCCTTTTCAAACAGATGCATTTTCTCATTGGTTAATGATTTTCTTCTTTTTTTTTTCTCATTGTTATTGTTATTCAGTTTTCCTTTTATTCCTCCTCAAGGTCTGAAAGAACCTTGCTGCCATAGTGTCATGTTAAGTATAAGGCTTCCTTTTTATTTTGAAAGATAGTCAACGGCTTTAACTGTCATTAAAAGGTCTGTACCATGTAATACATTGAACAAGAGGTATTCAGGATATGTAGGTTTTTCAGATTTTCATTATTGAGTAGCATAGTTCTGTGGATGCCATAGATCACTGGGCAAGGACCTAGGAACCTAGGCTTTTCAATCACATGCAGTGATAGCTGCCAATGTAGCTTTGTACATCTGCCCCTCCCCAGACCCTGAATTGGCAGGTGCCCCATGTTACCTTGGCTCATCATCAAACTTATTTTTTTATAAGATTTCTATTTGTGAAGATGGAGGGAGAGAAGTTAAAGAGTTGTCCATGTAACCAATACTAAAATTGGATATAGACCATAGAAGGGAAAACAAATTGAAGCCATCTATCAACTAGATATAAAAGGTGAGTTCCATGATTCAAGTGGCAAAGTTGAATCCCCTATTAAAGTTTTCCAACTTGTAACTATTCAGTAAAAGATATTCTTGGCGTAAAAAACGCATGAGGAATAGAAATAACAGGAAATACTACATTACAATCTAAATGGTTATGGTTATACATGGTGCTAGAAAAACATCTTAAAAAGGGTCCACCCATGCCAACATTGGCACTTGGCAGGACACCTCTTGTAGCATCTTAATGATGATTCAAGATCAAGTAAGAAACCTCAGCATTTAGCATTCATTGAAAAGGAATCACAGGAAAAGAAACATCCAATAAAGAGTCTACGTTTTGATTTTCTCATTTGTCATCATGCCTTTAAATTAGTCATGTATTTAAATGTTATTTACTAAGGGATCATTGCTTGGTGAAATGGTAAAATGTCAGGATGAGAAGCATGACAGTGCAGGTTTGAGGGAGCACATTATGCAAAATATTCAAGAGGCTAGGTCCATATTAAGTCCACCCCTCCCAACATAGCAGGAACCAATATTGAGTAATGATCATTTTTATTTAAATGTTCTCTTATCACCATGTCACCGTGCCATGATTTTTGGAGGTTGG